ACTTGTATTTTATCAATGAGACGACGTTGGCGGAGTAATTGTGGTGGATAAGCAGCTATAGCGAGGCGAGGCTACTTGTTATTATTGTACGGATATAATAAAGTATCTTGTCAATACAAGTTTGATAGAATGGGTCAAAATACAAAGTTACCGAGGCCAAATTCAACAAATTGCTATAAATTAGACTTTTGCTTCATTAGTAAATTATAATAGAACCATTTTGCAATCCAAGACTTTGTTTTACGAATAACCATTTGGAATTGCAAATAGTTAACGAACATTCAAATTATCGAGTAGTTACTTTACAATGCTTGAGCAAATTAAATAAAAACACATTATGGGTTTCCTACGTTAATATTGATTTTCCATAACAAAATTAAGCCTTTAGTTACGTAAAATTTTAATCAAGCAGTCTAAAAGAAAAAGAATCATATAATTACTGCTTACAACGAATGAGCAAATAAAAGAGTAAAGTTGCATTAACGTTGTAACAGGAGATAGTTTAGGAATGATAAATCCTACACAAGGTAAATTTTACAAATATTAAAGTTGACTCAACGATTACGGGAGAACGAATGTCTATTGACCCTGAGGCTTAGCTAAATACAACTCAACAGTTAGGGACTTTTCAACGGGCTTCACTAATCACAACTCGGGTGTCAACCAGCGAATATGTTTGTTTTTGTTTTGTTTTGTTTTTTTGAATAAAGAGATTTTCATACACTGAAATTCATAATTGGTAATCTGTTTTTGGTAATTATCCGGTAGAGCGCAAACCACTAATTTCTCTATCGATTAAAAATATTTGACTCTTATCCTTCGGCAATTATGATTAAGTAATAAATTCCCACTACTAAAGTCAACGTCATCGATTTCGCTGCCTGTGCACAAGGCACTATGATTAAAAAAAAAAAGACTTTAATAGTAAACTTGTGACCGCATCCCATGTACGCTAAATTCTATCTCACAATGACGCTTAAAATAACGCCGGCGCTCATAGACTGAATGCAGGAGTTGTATTGGGAAGGGGAAAAAATATATGTATTGTAAAAGTTTTAAATGGGACTCAGTGCGTCCAATAGGAAAACTATGTAATGTCAAGTTGTATTAATGTTACCGTTATACGTTGTGATTTTGTATACTTACTCAATATCTTTTATTTTTTTTTGAAAGCGAGCCGTTGGGCTAAGGTGGTGTCTAATTCAAACTCGGAATGTAAGAAAAAATTTTCTTTTTGATGTAATATACTATCATTATAACTTAAGTACAGCAAAATAAACTCGTTTTGTTTATACTATAAATCTCTTCGAATCATAGTCCTTCAACAGCAACAGTATCGTGGTCATCCTCTTTATCTGACAAGGTCGAATAAGCAAAACCATTGGAGAATTTAAATCGTTAACAGCGTATTCAACGTCTGCAAAACTTCAGTTTTTTCTAAACAATTAATTGTCAAATCTGCTCTAGTAATAATTTTCCAATATTGTACATCAACGTTATTTGCCGAACATTTCCAACAATTTTTGTTTGCGTATATGACCGACAGTAATAGTGCTGAGTTAGACAACATAGTTATACGGATATTATTGACAATGACAACATTACTAGTGTCTAAATTTGTATATAATTTAATTTAACGTTTTGTTAATTAAAGAGTGTTCTATTATTGTGTTTCAAAGTTAATATTGCAAATAAGCAGTAGTTATTATTATTACCAGGACATTAAATATATTATTATCCTGGAATAATGTATTACATGATAGTCTCGTTTCGGGACAGTTTGCATCTGTGCACGCACAACCTGATAAACTGTTTGAAGTTTTTGTAGAACACACAGCTTAGATTATCCCAGCAAGTTTAATGTGACTACACCACAATCGAATCTTAAAAAAAGACACTTCGAAAGATTGCTTTTTGATAGCGGAAATTGAGACTAATAAAAACTATAAATTCCATTTCCGTTTTCGCTGAGGAATTAAAATAAATATTTTAATAAAATATAATTACCAAGCACACAATAATGTAGGAAGACATTAGGAATAAGTCTGGAGATCTACAGACACTATTTTTTTCTACTGTATTGTTGTGATAACATGAAACAACTCGAACAGTATGAAACGGTTAACCCTAACCATAATTTTATGTTAAGGATCAAACAAAGTTCTTTGCTTGAAAAAATTTGCACAAGAACATAAGACAATTTTGTATTATTTTCCCAAAATAATAGATAAATAATTATGTACGTATACTCCGGAGACAGCTGCCGAAAATTGTACGTGACCCAAAACGTACTAGCAATCTCGCAAAGTCTTCCTTCGGGATAACCTGATAGACTAACAGTCCTGACTTAATCCAATAGAAATCTCTGGAGTATTGTTAAAAGAAATGTAGGAAACATACAACACCGATTGGGTTAGTTAATAAAGCGCGAGGAATTGTGAACGCATTTCATAAATCTGCTAATTTCTCAGCTTTTATATGGTATAAATTCATCATATTATATGCACATTATTTATTCTTGCGGAATACAAAGCCAACACGTTAAGACGAAGCCACACTAAGCCAAAATTGCATGAAGCCGAAGTTTTTCTGGTTTACCAAATTTTTGTTATAGTGTAAGCCGAACAATTGACAATAATAATTTGATCTCTGATCTTCATAAGTCATGGGATGCTATATGTAATATAGGCACGCAATGGCATCTGAATTAATGTGGCCATATGTTATTTCTGAGGAAAAGCTTTCCGCTGAAGGTTATTTATAATGGGCGCAGAATTAAACGGATTCCATATTAAGGAACAGATTTTCTTATATTTACAAGCGATTATTAACTTTCGTAATGGAGTCATTTCCATCGAGGTTTGAGACTAGACGAGCGTTTGCGCCAATTGGTCTGTTCGGCGGCATCCTATTTACCGATCGCTTATGAAGAACAAGGAAGGCCGAAACTGACAACTTAAAGAAAGAATTTGTTTGTGACATTACACGCGGAATAGCAATCGTGTAACCTCCTTGAGTAACAGTCACGTAGTGATCTTTATATTTAACAGACTTTGAATATTTACGAACGTATCGTATCGTATACGCTAGTCCGTTGATATTTATTTAACCTCGAGTAATTATTCAGCAATTAGGAATTAAATTCGGAAATCCATCGTTTTGGGAAAGGTTTTCACTATACTAACGCGTTTATAGACAATTAAATAAATATCCTAAACCGATTATAATGCAAACTTAGGGGCAAGACTAAGTTCACAACAGAGAGTCCGGAAAGCGGTTTCAAAACTTTCAGATTCGGGCCGTATTCAATTGTCGCCTTTGTCACCATTCCAATTCTTGTAATTAGCAATATATTCCAAACACCAGGACAAGACCTTTTCGAAGGTTTTGTGGTTGTCAAAGCAGTCTGCAAACACAGGTAGATCTCACTCGGATGCCATTGTTGTGGGAAAAAAAGTTAAAACATTCTAAGGTTTTCCGTGTTTATTTGCTTCTCTAACGAAGGCACGCGTTTATCCCTTGGGTTGTAAAAGTGGCAAATTTTAGCAACTATTATGATGAATTTTTATTCACAACAAGATGCTCACTAAAACACCAGTTTAGGCTGTTTTTATCCATCTACAATACATGCAGAACCACCACCGAGGCGAAAAATCTACTACTTTCTAATTTTTCATCATTACCGGGCAGCACGTAATCGACCGAATGAGAAGAGAATAAAGCTCATAGAGTGGGATTATTATTTTTAGAGGTGAGAATGAATACTGTATTTTGTTACAGGGGGTAAGTGGATCTATTTGTATATCAATGGCAAATTTTAGTAATTTAGCCATGACGTAACAAATGTTCGGATCGGATGGAGCCGATGTGGTACATATTTGTAACGGTAAACAAATTTCACATTATCACTAATGTCAGCTACTCAAACTTTCTCTCATTTCAAATGTGAGCCTTAACTTTTCGAAACCATTACCAAGCATTCTGTTGATTAATGTACTATGACTTTACTTTTCAGCATAGATATCTCACGATGCCTTATAATTTTTCATAAATTTGTCGTTCATATAATACTAATGTACTGTCCTTAGTCTTCAGAATAATGATTGCGTGTCGTATATTATACGATGGATTATTGCGTCTTGGCTTGCAGTTTTCTTTGTATCGTGGGTAAGCGTTAAACACTTAGATTTTTCGAACAAGTGTATTAGTCATGAATAGTTATGTTAATTTCACTTATGTTGATTAGAAATTAGTATCTATGAAAGGAAATTAGCCATATTAGATATCTCATGTTGACTTGAAATAGAAAGGAAGTTAGTACATAGGAAGTTAGCGCTATGTTATCTCAATGTGGTATACTTAGAAAATAATGACTAGCTATCATAGTTTTCGTTTATGTTCTTTTTAACTTGTATTTGAACGTATGAGATAAACCATCTTACTATTATGGTTATGGTTATGGTTAACATAACTTTAACCAGTAATCTCGGCAATTACTAAACATGATTTTGGTTACGTTTTATACAGCCAAGATTTTGCCATTTTGCCCCAGCGTTACGCTCGCGTTCTCCAATGATGAGTTTGTTTTTTTTTTCAAGATAAGTGTTCCCTTTCTACTTAGTTGGATTCTTAAAAATAACTGTTTCAAGCAAGGCTCAGCTGAGATGTCCTTGCCCCCGATCGCTGTACCCAGATGATGTCGTGCTGGTGTTATCAACACCAGCCCTTCCATTCACATGACTAGAGGGTCTACGGCGGTAGTCGGAGTACTGTTGGAGCCATGCTTTGAGGACTTCCGATCCGAAAATCGGCCAGTGGTTTCAATGTCTAATGCACTTGACCGCTGGTTTGATAATCTCTTTCCGCCTTAATTAGCCAGTGGTTTCAATGTTTAATGCACTTGGTTACAGTCTCTATTTACAGTGCACGAAAGTTTTTGGATGAAATGCGTGTCAGGCAAACACCTTTCAAAATACGCGTCTACTCAAAAAAGTCATCTAACACGGTTTGTAGCTCTATCTTACACATGTAATACAAGTTATTCCGCATTCGTTTGTTTAGACTTTTTCGTTCCTTTACTAACAATACAATGACAAAGTCTTCGATTGATCAAAATCGCAAAACAATAACAACTTTATGGGGCAAATGGCATGAATTAACTTCTATTTCGCTTTCTACAATATATAATTATATAAAAAAACTTAAAAATGGAAAATCTTTGGACCCTAAACCACGTTCTAATAGACCCTGAAAACTCTCTCCTAATCAACGTCGTTCATCTTGGTCAACTGGTCACAAGTAACAGATACTCTGCCTTACAAACATATGATCATCCTGACCTTAATGTCAGCAGTCGTACAGTGCTCAACGAACTTCATAATTTGCAATATCGTTGTACTGTCCCAAAGACCGTTCCTCTTCTCACCGATAGACACAAAGAATGCCGTTTGGAATTTGCTGTGAAATACAGACGACAAAATTGGAACAAAGTTATCTTTCTGACGAAGCAGTATGCAAATGTTCAGAAATACCCAAAAAGTGTATTATAAATCTGGTACACAACCTCCCCGTAAAGCTGGTAAACCATCTATACAAAAATTCATGCCTGGGGTGCGTTTTCTGTGAAAGGTCCAATCGGCTTTTTCCTTTTTACAGATGTCATGGATGGTGCCATAGATATTAACTGAAAATCTGTTTGAAAATGCGAATAATATTATGGGTAAAAATCGGGTCTTTCAACAAGATAATGACCCCAAGCACACAGCAAAAAGCTTCTTGCACATCAAATGTGGCGCACTTCATTGGTCGGATATTTTAATAATGCATCGTAGCACAATATAAATATATATATTCAGGTTTATTTTATTTTATCAATTACTTTCGTAGATTATCTTAGCAAACCTTCTTTTCTTTGTTCGATAGATTTTCACTATGAACATATGAGTACTAGTCTGTTTAACATTAAAACGAGTATTGATTCCCTTGGCAATACAAAAATGGTAGAATTCATACAACGTGAATGAAACCTTTTTAAAACATACATACGAATTGCATGCCGATAATCTATTGTGGTACCAAAGTTTTCTTGTACTTCTGTTGACCACATAGCGTCTTTTGGGAGAATCAGCATGCTTTACTTCCAAAATGAAGTAATCGAATGCATTGTTGTGCTTGCTAAGATAACATCTACAAAGCTAAGATCTCTTTATTGATCGTTACCCCACACTTTTAATATCAAAGCAGGTCTTTGTCATAGATATACTTTATATGATTAAATAACACACGTATCCGGATGGTCAATGAACCAAGAATTAGCATCCTTGATCGATGCAATAAACTGCTCCACTTGTTATCCGTTAAATGATACACAGGTCCGTTAGAAAACTTTGTCAAGTTGGATGCTTTGACCTAAATATTACAATCTTGCCAACAAGTTTTATGGTTTATGATTATATTCAAACAACTCTTTATTTCGCCAGAAATGGTACAATCTTGCCAACAAGTTTTATGGTTTATGATTATATTCAACAACTCTTTATTTCGCTAGAAATGGTGAGATCGATTTAGGCGTAATCACAAAAAGCGTACAACACTGCAGG